ATATATTATAATAATAACAATAATAATAATAATACTCCAGAAAATTGACGTGCGCCTGACTCCACCACATTGTGACACATATAAAAACTATTTTTTACTGATCTTAAGTCAAAGTGTAATGGGGTTATTGTCCTTACACACCCACCCACTCACCCCCTTACACATACCATGCACACAATATCATGCCTTGAGTTCTAATCTCGGGCTGTGGTGATATTGTTTCATCAGAAAGTGACAACTTTTGACAACATCAGTTTTCAAGTGAGCCAATGCTCAGATCACAGAGAGAGTGGTAATTTTACGCAAAAGTGGTCAAAAAATGGCATTCTCTGGTTTTGGCCCCAAGAGTGTTGGATCGATTATAATTTACTAACTTTAAAAAGCCAGCGCATCTCTCGCTCTCTTTTACTTTTGGCGATAAAACATCGACACCGAGTATATTTAAGTCAGTATCGATATCCCCAGTACTTTTGGGGCCAAACCCGGAGAATGCCTTCAATTCAACACAAGACGAAACTCAAGGAAGAAAAACAGATTGTAAGAATTTAAAAATACAAGTACAGTAGATTCTAGATTCTACATCTTACAACAAGCAAAAGAAGCAGACCAAAAGGGCATGCATGCCAACCACTTTAAAGTCTGTCTGCAATAAGCGAAGAATTAAAATGATCTCGAAGTGATGGATGAAATCTGAATGAAATTTTTAAAAGAACTGACTCAACTGAAGTCTTGTCTTCTCTTCAAGATCTACAGGCCTACAGAGCCTACAAACAGATGGGGCTCTTTGGAAATTGCCTTCCCATTTGTTTTCATACAAAACAGTAGCAGAAGTGATTGCTAAGGACAAAAGCAGCCATATATAGTTAAGTGAGCCCTACCATTAGCCAGTAATATTTTTAGACTGCCTTTTTTGTATTAAAAATGTTTTTGAATTTTGGCGCCGGATTGAACTTTGGCTTTGGGGGACCCACTGTGGGTAAAATCCAAGCTGACCGGGTCAATACAATGAAATAATAGAGAAAAATCGGGAAAAATATTAATATACACGCCATCAAAAGTGTTAATTTCCCTCCAAAATGAGAAAGAAAAACTATTTACTTAACAATTAAAACACTTTCTACAATCCATTCAAAAAACATAATTTGAGTTCTAAACCAGATATAAAAGCACTCACTGCGTCCAAAGTCGAACAAAAGAATCTGAAAAATCCACTCGAATGTCCCTGCATGCCCCATCTTTGTTTACATCCTCCAACAAGTATTCATACACGCGTTTGACCAATCACTACAACTCGAATCCCCTAGTCATTATAATAGCTCATTTAATCAAATAATGTGTATAGTTAGTATTTTACTCGCGGTTATTCGAATGACAACTACCCCGGCCTTTTAACCATCGTAAATCTCAATGAAATATCTCACAACTTACCTTCCACTGTAAGGACTTCCGTAACGAGTGACCACCCCATCAAACACAATAAAGTAAAGGCCTAACCCTAACCCTGTACTACCCCTACCCCTAGCCCTCAATTCTGCTCTGTCTCATAGTGGTCGACCCCTAACCCAAACCCAAACCCTACCCCTAGATCTGCCCCTACCCCTAGCCCTCAATACCCCTACCCCTACCCCTAGATCTGCTACCTCTAGCCCTCAATTCTGCTCTGTCTCATAGTCATAGTGGTCGCTCGATACGGAAGTCCTCCTATTACAGTTACAGAATAACAGATTTGACCAGAAGTAGTTCCGGAGAGAGTTCCCAAGTCAGCTAAATTTAGCCTGGAGCAAAAAGTAGTTCCAACCCAATCCGTAAATATGTTTTTGCAATCCTTAACGAGCATTTCAAGTTCTCATTTCAATTTCCCGAACAGCTAAAGTTACACTTTAGCACTTTGTGGGGTCGCTCAATAAACTCAATTCATTTTTTAAGTCTAGAAACCCCAAAACGCCCGTTTTTGTCTTTTTTGCCCAATGCGTCTTATATAGGGAGCCATCCCTTCCCTTTATATCCATAATATAATCTCGAAATCCCCGCGCATTCATCGGCCGCGATGGGGCCTTTGGCCCCGCTGACCCGATCTGCTAGGATCCAGCCCCACTGTGTTTACGCGTGCGTATTAAATGCGCACAGGCCATTATAACAGTGGGGGGTGCCCCCCTGGCAAAGATAATAATAAAAAACACACTCACAACCTTCACGTTCACATGGCAAATTAACAATTGGAACGGGAAGGTTAAGAGAGCCCCTAAGGCCCTAAGCCCAAACAGACAGTGTATCACTCGGAGAGTTCAGAAACAGACTCTACCTTCGTCTTCAAAACACCTAGATTCTAGATCTAGATCTACAGATTTTATAGTGTAATGAACAGTCAGTCTCTCTGTCAACCATTGACCCCAAAGGATAAAAAAAAGACACAAACCTTTATCAAATAGAGATCTAGATCTAGATCTGGATTCTATATCAAATGACGATGAATCACTCAGCGACCTGTTGCAATCTCTTGCCAAAAGGAAAACCCACCCACTACTAAAGACTAATAAATAACTTCCGGATTCTATTTGAACAGTACTGCTTAAACTACAATCTTCAACATAGTTATTATTTAGCATTGGTGCTCAGTGCTCAATGCTTATAATAATTAATTCGATTATTATTATTCATTCCATGTAATAATTGTTGTGTAATTTGTAATATAAAAATGTACACAAAACGAAACGCAAAAAACTACTCTCAGTCGGCGCAGCTTTGATGGCTGATTTCATTTTGTTTGGTTTTATTATGTCAGGCCTATCATTTTTTATTATAAAAACGATATAATAATATAATGATGAATGATGAACATATCAATGCTAAATAATAACGATATAATAATATAATGATGAATGATGAACATATCAATGCTAAATGAAAACAATATTAATTATTAATAATTGAAAACACTACTACTACTACTACTACTACTACTACTACTACTACTACTACTACTACTACTACTACATTTGTAGGCCTACTATAAGAAGTAGCATAGTAGTAGCTAGAGTTACAGTAGTAGGCTAGTAGTAGGCCTGCTACTCCTAATTACTAATACTATTATGAACCATCCATCTTAAAAATAAAACGTTATTTCTTCTTTTGAAAAGACTTCTAGTAGAAAAAAAACAATTCATTCCAATGTTTGACATGGATTCGAACATGTTAATTCATCTTTACCCAGTCTGTTTTGTTTTTTATTTTATTTTTTTTATTTTTTATTTTTTGGTTCTGTTTCCTAAAATAGTTTTTGTCTCTTAACCATTCCAATCAAATTGGTGTCATCTGATTAGGATCAAAAGGCGCGCAGTCAGACATGCAGGGAAGCTTGGACTTATTTTCCAAAGCGTTTGACCACCTCGGCCTAGTATTTCCATCAAGGAGACCGGAGTAGGGCAAGGTATTATACCAGCCTACCCCATCAGCTCCATACGGTACATATTATAGAGTCCCAGTTTAGCGTCAACAGCCATAGAGACTGGTAATGGCAGATAAGTTTTGGAAGCATTCTATCTTGCTATCCTGTATCTGCAAGAAAGTGGTCTACAGGACTACCAGAGGCATTACAGCGACAGCCGTCGGCAGACTGAAAGACATAATTCAAAGTGACAAGTATTACTCATGTCTCCATCTTTTCCTCCCTGTTTTTTATCTTTTTATTTATTCATTTTTTTAAAATCACGTGATGATTTTATTTATGATTATTATGATGATTGATTCAGTGTCATGTGGGGGCCTGTCGATTGATGTACTGGGAGTCGTAATCCATCACTTGTGCGCCAGTGGGGCTGTCAATATTGAGAACGCGTTGCCTCTAACAATCGCCAGAGAGGTTCTCGCGAACAACCACCCCATTTCCCGTTGGTCACCTGTGGCGTTTATTTCCCGTCGATCACCCTTAATGGCGTTTGCCAACCGACGACCAACTTTCTGAAGGAACTGAGTGGTGAAGGGGCCGAGAGCGTCGGATGTTTCGACGGCAACTGGGACAAAGTCAACAAAGCAGTTTCTGAGGTCTGCGTATTTTCTAATTTTGGCTCCCTCGGCCTTCTTGGGGATACATCCGGGAGCAGAGGCCGAGGAGATGATGGACTGCGGTGACAAAGAATGGGAGAAATTGGTGTCCAACATGAGGCAATTCCCACCCTCGAAAGGAAAGATCGTGAGGCCATCTGGCCTTTTGCCATCACTATGGTCGAGGCCGGAGGGTGTGAGGATGCAGTGCAGGCCGGATGCATCGAGCGCGCACGTCACGATGTCGTTGAGGGCGGCGTGACGTGGGAGATGTCCACCACTCCGACGACAGGACAGTGGGCGCAGGCCAAAGCTATCGACTGATGAACCACATCGGCATTTGTGCTGGTTTTTTAAAATATGTGAGACAGCGTGGTGGAATCAGGCTCTCGTCAAAATGATGAAATCAAAGATATTGGCATTTTTCTGTCCGTTTGGCAATTTTTATATAATTTTTCGTTTTTAAACTCAACAGCTTTTACGTCCATTTAAAAAAACATTTCTGTGTGGAATATCCCGAAAAACGTTGATTATAAGTACAAAAAATGTAAATTTTC